AAGCCTTCCCTACCTGGTGTGTTTTATCAGTAGTGAATTAGGAATCTCTGCTCAACTTAATGACCTTGAGTAAGTCTCTTCCCTTCTCTAGCCTCAGTTTTCTCATCTGCAAAATAAGGGATTGATCATGGAAAATGCTATCCATATTCAGAGAAAGAACTATGGAGTCTGAATGCAGATCAAAGCACACAATTTTCTCTTTTGGCTTCTTGTTTTTTCTTTCTCATGGTTTTTCCCTTTTGTTCTGATTCTTCTTTCACAATATAACTAATATAGAAATATGTTTAATATGATTGTACATGTATAGCCTATATCAGAGTGGGGAAGGGTGGAATTTAGAACTAAAAATCTTATAAAAGTGAATGTTGAAAACTAAAACTAACTAAATAAATTTAAACCAAAAAAAAAATAAGGGATTGATTTCTGTAGACATTTCTAGTTCTACATCTAGTCTGCAGTCATTTCTCCCTGAATTCCTGCCTCTTTCAAGTTTAAAATATGAAGGCTAAGCTAAATGAATTTGAGTCCCTTTCAGCTCAAAATCATATAGTCTTTATTGACAATTCTTCTCGGTATATTTATTATTCTACCAAATACTGACTCACACCCTGGAAAGCTTAGAGTGATACATTCTTTTATTAAAAAATCTCCTGGGAATGAAACTCCTTTATATGGAGCAGAACTATCTGTGATGTGTGGCCACATTAAAAAGAAATCCCTTCGGTACCCAAAGCTCCAGATCTATCATTTCTTTCCCCCGCTCCACCCACGCAAAGTAGCAACGATGGAATAACTGGTTACCCTTGGCCTGAAATCTGTAGAACAATAATAATGATTATGTATATATATACATGTATATGTGTATACACATATATCTTTATATTTTGCAAAGCACTTCCCTAGCAATAATCCTTTAAGATAGCTAGTGCAAGCATTGCTATTTCAATTTACCGATGAAGAAACTGACCAGAGGTTAAATGACTTGCCCATGATATCCAGGATGTTTGAGGAAGGATTCAAACACCTATCCATTATGGTTCGATGTCTTTACACTAAAGTATTATACCATTAGAAACTTGTAGTTTGGTTCTTTTTTTTTTTTTTTTTTTTTTTGGTTAGGCAATGGGATTAAGTGACTTGCCCAGGGTCACATAACTACTAAGTGTTATGTGTCTGAGGTCAGATTTGAACTCAGATCCTCCTGAATCCAGGACTGGTACTCTATCCACTGTGCCACCTAGCTGCCCCTAGTTTGGTTCTTTGTACTCTGTGGAATCAAGCCTTCTCCCTTTTTTCATAGATTGTAGATTCAGAGATGGTAGGGACTTTAGAAATCATCATGTCCAACCTTCTCATTTTATGGATGAGGAAACTGAGGTTAAGTGATTGTCCAGTTAAGTGTCTTAGGGGGTGGAGTGTGATCCCAGGAACATAGAATTAGGGCTAAAAAAGTTCTTGGAGTCCCCTCATTTTAGCTCAGTATGGGCTTGGAACTCTTCCCGAATTGAAATCTGGCCTCAGACACTTACTAGTTGTGTAACCCTGGGCAAGTCATTTCACCCTGTTTGCCTCAGTTTCCTCATCTGTAAAATGACCTGGAGAAGGAAATGGCAAAACACTCCAGTAACTTTGCCAAGAAAATACCAAATGGGGTCATGAAGAGTTAGACTCGACTGAAATGACTGAACATACACTATTATTATTATTAATAACTGGAATGGTGGGCTGGGTTAGGGGTCCTACTTGAATTGCTGCTAATTATTGGTAAAATCCTATTATAACATTCTAGGCCAAAGAAGGATTTCTTAATAACAAGTGCTGACCTGTCTTAAGCAGTACTTTTTTTGTGAATACTCCTTTAAATAGTAAAGCTTTTTGATAAGCGGACACAACAGGGAGTCACTATTACAAAAACGACAACCCATCTTAACAGAATGTGATTGCTAAACCTTACATGGTAGGATGCGGGAACACCAGTAATAATGATCTCTAATTCTTTCATTATATCATGAAGCAGCATTTATCCTTCCACTCCTGTTCAGCCCTGCTTCACATATTTTAACCACTTAACAAAAATTATTTAAACTCCTCAAACTCCAACTAACAAAAAAAGCATACAAAAATAACCAGAAGTCTAAAGTAAGAAAAGGATTGGGAAATGGAGGTTGTAAGACTCCCCATTTCCCTCATGAGGATTTTTTTCCTTTTTAAGTAATTATGGGGACTGAATATTAGCAATTTCCTCCCTAGTTCCTGCAGTCCGGAATCCCGCTCCACTTTATATGTGCTGCTCTGCCTGGTTTCAATGTCATGAGCAAGATCCTTTCCTACAGGTTACCCCATGGTGTCCTCTACTTTCCTGCCTCCTTTTGTGTGGTCTTCCCCTTTAGATTATAAGCTCCTTGAGGACAGGGGCTATCTTTTTTTTTATTAATTGTATTCTTAGGGTTTAGGTTTAGCACAGTGTCAGGCACTGTTTAAATGTTTATTGGATTGGATTAGATTGGATTCCATGGCAGCAAAATGTAATCCAATGATCCAATGCTGGTTTCCATTGCTCTTTCTGCAATTCTAGTCCCTTCTCTTCACCCAGATAATGAAGAAGTAGCTTTATAACTGCCCTGCCCACCACATAAGGATTACTGCGTGTTTCAAATGAGATCATAGGAAAGATAACTAAAAATAAGGTGCAAATTATAAGGTTCTACAAAGTACTTCATATATCTCATTTATCTTCACAATGACCTGCGATATAGACAGTATCTGTGAAAGTGCTTGAGAATTATAACTATGTAAGTGCAAACTATCATTATTGTTAAAACTAAACCTCAGAAAACAAAAAGGACCTAAAAAATAAAATAAAACAAACAACCCATCAAATCTATGAACTTCAAACAGTAAAACAGACATAGTCAAAAAAAGTACCAGACTGAAAAGCAGGAGACCTGAGTTCAAGTCCTACTTCTCTCATTAATTACCTTCTTGACCACAGAGATATCAGGAAAGTTCTGTCAGTTTCTTCACATGTAAAATTAAAGGAATGGACTAACAATTCTTGACATCCTTTCTAGCTCAATCATTCTAAAATTTTTTAATTTTGCAATGAGAATTTTTTTTTAGATTGCTATTTTTTGGAGTTACCAATAAGTTAGTAAGTGGACAAAAAGCAGAAATGCAGACTAAAATGATCACAAACAAAATGAATAAGCCACATGATAAATACTTGACCCTTGAATAAAAGAATGGCATTCTATGATTGCAGCAATTCGGCATCACCAGAATACTTATTGCTCTAAACTTTACTGGGCCACAAGTACTCCAAGTCCCCAAAATTGACCTGTGAGTGAAAGCACAACCAGTGCTAAATGGGGTGGCCAAAGAGGCTGGCACGTCATCAGGAAGAAGCCAGGCCTCAGTGTGAACCAGAAGATGTTAAGATCGGGAAAGGAATAAGATGAAAGAATTTATTGACTATGGAACAGGCATTCCAGAAGGCACAGTGTTTGGTAGATTTTGTTTTGAGACTTTGGGGGAAGGAGGGTTTGAGGGGAACAGGAGAAGGAATCAGTAATGGGAAATGGGGTTTGGATGATGACCTGCATAGGGTTCAGAATCACTGGGAAAGGGAAGGTAGGACCAGGTAAGAACCGTTAATCATTAAGTGAAAATTTACAAAGATTTTCAAAGTCAGTAGTATTACAGTCTCAGGATGGACAGTTGGGAGGAGCAAGGGCTTGGAGCAGGAGTGATGATAACTCTCCTTCCTTGAGGAAGACGACCAGGCTGGAAATTGAATGAAAGGCCCTCTCTCCCTTCACCTTCACAGCTATGATGGAATGGCACTGCTTTTCCCACAGGAGGCTGAGATCAGGCAGGAGACAGGTGGGGTGGGACAGACCTGTCTTTTCTTTCCTTGTATCCTCTACAAGATATACTTAGCAGGAGCTGATATCCAAGCCTCAGTCTTGGAATTAGGTTGGTGGTTTGTTCCTTAATGGTTATGCAGGGTATTGTAGAAGGAATACTGGATTTGTATGCAGATGACCTGTGGTTGAATCCCACTTCTGCAAGCTATGTAACCTTGGGCATGAGTCATTTTGCTATGGTCTTCAGTTTTCTCATATTAAATATGAGTTCTGAATATTGTAAGTTACTAGAAACCATTGAGATTGCGGAAGGGACAGCAAATAGACCAATGTGATTAGCATTTACATAAGGCTGAAAGGTGTTTTACATGCTGTCTCATTTAATCCTCACTATAACCCTATGAGGTGGATGCCATCTTTCCCATTTTACTGATGAAGAAACTAAGGCTGAGACGTTAAGTGACTTGCACAGGGTCAGTGGCTGAGACAGGATTCAAATCTAGGTCTTCCTGAAAGTAAGTTTAGCACTCCAACCACTGTGCCACCTGGTTCAAACCCTACAGCTAGACCAAAGTGCATGGAGTTAAGTTTTTTGTACGAAATGTGTAAAAATAGGAGGAAACCAGGCTGAGAAGAGCTTTAAATGCCAGACTAGAGTTTATAATTGATCCTAGAGGTAATATGGAAGCCCTAGATATTGAGTGGGGATGGAGTAGACATAGCCAGGTCAGCTCTTTAGTAAAAGTCACTTTTTTTTGGCTAGGCATTGGGGTTAAGTGACTTGCCCAGGGTCACACAACCAGTAAGTGTCAAGTGTCCAAGGCCAAATTTGAACTCAGGTCCTCCTGACTCCAAAACCAGAGCTCTATCCACTGCGCCACCTAGCTGCCCTAGTAAAAGTCACTTTGACAGTTGCATAGGGGATGGGTCGAAATGAGGAGACTAATTAGGAGGAGGCTATCGCAATAACCCAGGTTAGAAGTGATGAGGGTTTGATGTGGCTTTGAGTGCAAGGGATGTATTTATATCTATATCTATCAGAGTAATGTTGTGGAGAAGGATGTGACAAAATTTGGCAACTGACTCGATATGTGGAGGAGATGAGAGTGAAAAATCAAAGATGACACCAAGGTGTCAGTTAACAAGCATTTATTAACTCCCTATATACAAGGCAGTATGCTAAGTGTGTTGGGGTTACAAAGACAAGTGAAATAGTTCCTGCCCTCCAAGAGCTTACATTCTACAGAGAGAGGACATTACATGTACACATGTAAGTACATACAAAAACATGCAAAACAAGTACATGATCTTTTTGCGGGGGAAGGCATTGGCAGTGGGGTGATCAGGAAAAGCCTTAGAGAAGGCAGCACTGAAGATGAGCTTTAAAGGAAATCAGAGATTGTTAAGTGCAGAGGTGAAGAGCCAATGCATTCCAGGCATGAGGGGGACAACATGTGCAAAGGTGTGGAGATGGGAAATGGAGTGTTATCTGTGAGGAACAGCGGTGAGAGTGTGCGAGGGGGAGTACTCACTGTAACATGGCTGGGGAGGTAGGCTTGAACCAGAAAACACGGTTGACCACCAAGTGATGACTTTTTCAGCCACAGAATCTCTTGGGTGGCTGGGTGTAAAGTTTATTTATAGGTGAAAGGAGTACTCAATGCAATTACAGATATTTTGAAGTATTAGCGCATACATCCATGTCCTTCCTAGGACTAATACTTTTCTGTATAAAACATATTTAAAATACAAAATTTATTCTTCATAAAGGATGCTTTCACTTAGCCATCACTATATATACACATTTTATAATAAACACAAATAATGGCAGCAATTTCATTGTCATTCATAAATACAAAATTTTATTTGGACTTCATTAGTTTAGAAAGACCACAATGCTTTTCAATGCCACGACAATTCAAGACACTCAAAGTTATTCAAATATGTTACTACTTATTTACTTTAACTAAACAAAGTGCAGCTTAATAAAAGATATACCAAAGATAGAGTTCACAAATTCATTATCAGACTCCTCCCCCAATCCACCCCAACAAAAAATAGAATACAGTATATGCTGGACAGAACTTAAGTTTCACTTAAAAAAAAAGGGGGGGGGTTTGTTTGTTTCTACCATTAAAAAGGATCAAGATATCAGGCAAATACATATATGTTCCTTGATATAGGAAAGGTATCTTCAAAAAATTCCTTTAAACAGGATTTGCTTAGAACAACAGCGTTATTTTAACATCTGTAATAGTTTCAAATACATCTCTTTTACTTGAACTCTGTGGTTCTTAAAAGTATATTGTACAGTCTGTTCATTAAGGAACTGTGACAGCAATATTGTTCTCTTAGGTCTAAGTCAAGCCCAATATCTCTAACTCTAGTTATAGGCTATAATTATTAACATACTATTAAATAAATATTTTTTAAAGGATGGAAATCAAATGGATTTTTGCTTTGCTGCAGAACAACTCCAATGCTACAAAGATGCTACAGCTGAAAAAGTCTTTTGAATAAAGAAAAAAACAAACAAACCATGACTTAGGGAAGCTTTATTCAAAAAATTCTTCAGTTTTACAAATTTATCTTTAAAATAGTTAGCAAAGCACCAAATACTCTCTTCATACCAGAATAATTTCTGCCATTTTAATATAATTGACAAGAACTATTAAAACATTTATTTGTAGTATTATAGATTTCATTTCTCCCACTCCTTTGTATCAGGAGTACTGCAGTTTCCCCAGTGCCTACACAATATTTATAACACTGAGATAATGAAGGAAATATACAAATGTATGGGTGTGTGTGTGTGTGTGTTGTGTGTAATGTGTTACATAGTTGAATCCTACATAGGATTAAATATTTGCATATTTACAGGTTAGTGTGGAGCTCTGACTTGGATAACAAAGTGCGACATGAAGTTGTCAGAATGATTGTAGCGCAGAGTTGAACAGATACTCTTCCCCCTTCCCAAGAATCTTTTTTACTATGTCCCTAAGGAGCAAATCAACAGCAACGGACATGTGGTCTTGGTGGAGGCAGTTCTGGTGGTATTTCTGGTTCTGGTTGTAAGGAAAGGATGCTGTTGGATAATTCATTCCTTAAAACATCCAGAGGCATCTTTAAGACGAGAGGGAAAGAACGTGTAAGTATTTAACAAAGTTACCTTTATACAGGTTTTTCAAACAGTAAAAACTAAACAGAAGTGAAAATCTTACTAACTCCTAAATAAATAACACCTGCATAACAACCCCAAAAAGACTTGTTATTCCCATTTATACTGCCCTTTGGAGTTTGCAAAGTCTTTTTAAAAAATGAGTCTCTGAGAAACTTAGCTTCACATCAAATTAAAGCCCATCTGGCCCATTACTTTTGGGGAAAAAGTTAAGAGCAATGCTTCAATTACTTTTTTGATTAACTGAAATATGTTTTCTACAAAACCATAATTTGGTACATTGGTAAAGAAAGAAACCGCACTTGCTAAAGAAGACCCAAAAAAATACTGAAAAAAATAACACCTTAAAAAATAGCCTAACCCAAATGGCAAAAGAGGTCCAAAAAGCCAATGGTAGGGCTTATAATCACTGCATCTCCACTGTCCCCTCCCTGTGGCATGAAAGTCAATGGAGGGACAGCTCCTTAGAGTCACTGCCCTGATCTGCGCTCTGAGGACAAGTCTGTTGAAGTGCAACAGCCTCATTACCAGGAAGCTGCCCATGCTGAATGCTTCATGGCACACATGAAAAACATACTTCCAGTTCAATGTAGCCTCTTGCACATCCACCATGATGCTGGTGGAGTGTTAGCAAAGAAAGCAGAGGTTCTAAGAAACAAAAATCATTCAGGATGAGAAGGCGCGTGATTGGCTGTAGCTTATACAAGTGGAGAGAAAAGCCACACCAATGAGGTTCTGTTCCACTGAAGTATATTACCATAAGTATAAATGCCTTTATAGACAAGCTTTGAGATCAATAAATTTGTTAAAAAATTTTGAAATTATGTTTGAACCCAGAAGATTTCACATAAGTGATAACACCAGTTAAATAAACATTTATGTAAAAAAAAAATTATGTTTAAATCTTTGAGTATAAGCCAATCATCAACATGTTCAAAAATGATTTGTAACTCCTTGGTTTTAAGACTGTGGTAAGTACCTACATGCTGCATAATATTCTTCAAAAAAAAAATCAGAAATGATGGAAAGATAAGTATCACTTTAAAAGTATTCAGTACTCAAGAGGTACTGAGATCCTGTGTAAATAAATCCATTTCAATTCAAGTGAGAAAAAAAAGGGAACAAATGGAACCTGGTAACAGAGCATGTTCCTTTTATCCTATCTGGTTATTCTATTAAAACCTCGATGTTTAAGTACTTAAAGAAATGTGTTACATATCAGCTCTGACCTGCACTGCAAATTCTTATGTGGTCTAAGTGGCCCTAGGGCCATATCTTCAGTGATGGTTAAAGTGAAGATCAATGACATACTTTAATATTGTATCTGGGTCTGGTCGTTCAAAGTAACCAAGGGAATTTTAATTTCCATATTAAAGTCTTTAAACCAAGTCATGGCAAGTGGTAAAGTTCAAGGTTTCACATCCAGTGGGGAATAACAAAAAGAATTTTACCTTTTTCAGAATATCATCAACAAGTTTTAGAAATATCTCATCCACATTGAAATTATCCTTGGCACTTGCTTCACAGAATCTCATCCCAGTTATCTGTTGTGCAAACTATTGGAAAGAGATTAAAGAAAAAAATTAAAAACCAAAACTCTTAATTGTTGGCAGCAGCATGATACAATTATGCTTTAGCACTAGCTCAGCTATTATTAGCTGTCTGACCATGGATACATAACTGTTTCTGTAGCTCAGCTTCTCATCTGTAAAATAGGGTTAAACTTCTTCTAAAATTCTGTGAATTTCATAAAAACTAACAAAAATTTATTATATGTTAAACAAATACAAGTTTTTATATTCTAAGAGTTAAAATTTTCCTTAAATCAAACCAGTTACAAAGTTTGGTAGATTTGAAATTGGGAAATCTGAATATGATTTTGCCTATTTATACTGAAGCCCTTAGTGAAAGCCTACGAAGCTTACAATGTTAGAAAAGAAGCCTAAGAAAGCATGACCAAAGTAAAATTGCTTCAAAATAAGATAATAACATATAAAAATATTTTAAATGAAAGGCCAAATAATGTAAAACCAGTGTTACAAATATTCTGTATGCTAAAGCAACTCTTTCTCCATATTTAGATGAATTAAGTGACCAGAAGTAAAGGAAAATCAATTATAAAAGCAGAATATAATACTGCTAAATTACAGCCCCTATTCATTTTAGTCCTGTTCAGTCCATCTCTCTTACCTTTTCACCCTGCTGTCTAGTGATTTCTCTGTCAGTTTCACAGTCCAACTTATTCCCGACTAACAAAAGTTCCGCATCTTCTGAGGCGTACTGTAGAATTAAAACAGGATAATGTTTTGCACCCTGGAGATACAAGATTTTTCTTCCAAACAATGGTTAGAATCTTGTAATTCAGATTTTAGAAATCTGAAAACACACTCTTTTTTGTAGAGAAAAAGATTTAGGCTCTCTATGGAAGTCTATGGATTTAAGTCCCTTATTAAGAGACACTTTGATTCTAAAAATGCCAAATATACTGAGCATTTTTCTTTCTTGTTTTGATTATAATGATGTGTGACTAAGGAACTCTTCCTCTGAGTGTGTGCTGCGGCTCGAGCACAAAACAAAAGCAGCCAATGAAGTGGGTGGGTGCACACTAGTCTCCCAATGTAATGCCTTGATCCTAACTGCCCAGGTATGTCTAAAGTGACATTACAGACTTTTGCTACAGAGGAGTGGGGACAGCTGGCGATTTTTGTTGGAGACAACAGGAGAATAAAGTGTTTGTTTTTAAAGAAAGCATGTATTAATAGTATACTTACTAAAATGAACAGGACATGTTATTTGACTTTACACTATACATATGTGTAAAGAATATAGAATGGATAGAAAGCTGGTCTTAGCAGGATTGTGAAGATTTGAGGTCCAAGTTATACCTGAGTGACTGTGGGAAATATCTGTAAGTTCTCAGCGTTTAATACAACTCTCTAACGCTAGACAGGAGTTTGCTGGTCTGCAATGGTAGAGGAAGTACTCAGAGACAGAACTATCCACACTGGTGAAATCACAGGTTTGGACTCCCCAAACTCCAACTATATTTAGAACACATAATTGTAGTTCACTGTTTAAGGAACTTTAAACACATTTTTTTTGGTGGGGTGGTGGTGGTTAAAGGAAATAAGGTAAATAATCAAACCTCAATTTATTCTTAAAAATGTTATTTTTAGAAAACTAGAGTTTCTTTTTTGGAGGATGGGGGTTATATACAATTTAAAAACTTTTTATCTTTAAAGGACAAAAATATATAATTAATTTATATTATTTCGTGAGAAATATGCAAAGCCTACCTTATCAATCATTTTCATCCATTTTGGTAGATCATCAAATGTCTCTTTCTTTGTAATATCGTACACTAAAATGATTCCCTTGGCACTTCTGTAATAAGCTGAGGTAATGCTGTTGAATCTTTCCTGACCTGCTGTGTCCCTAGGAAGGAATAATAAACATTGGCACAAGGATTCCATCAACTCATAAACAAGATGCTCTATATTTGGTGTAAATTCTATATACAGAAATCTATGTGGTGGGAGGGTAATACATGTGTAACATTTCTTCTTAATAGTTATGGTCTACAAAAAGAGCAGAAGAACCCTCAAAACAGAAGTTTCCTTGATAGAGAGCTATCAACTAAAGGAGAAGAGGGCACATTTAATTATAGAAGGATACTTAGAATGGGGATGGCCTACAAACAAGGAGAGCAATATGTTCAGAGTGAGGTTTTTCTTCTTAAAGACATAAAAAGCAATGATAGTGATGCTATATCGCACTGAAACACATGAATGCAGAACTTCAGAGAGAAATCAGCCACTTAGCAAAAAAGAAAAAAACTTTAAATGAAATTTTCACAAAGAATGAAAATAAACAATAACAAAAATCCAAACACACAGCTTAGAAGCAATGTGAAAATAATAGCATAAGTGATTGAAAACAATGTAATTTGATTACACGCAAGGAAGGCAGGTATTTACAAACAAATGTTAATTTTACTGAGGACAAGGAATGTTTCATTTTTGTCCCTCTATCTCGAATGTCCAGCATGTAACAGAAACATCATAAATACTTGTTGGCTGATGATTAATTTCCTTTTTATTGTTTGGGGTTTTCAAAAACTGTTTTAAGATATTGGATGAAGCACAAAAAAGCAAAGTTTTTCAAATCAATAGCACAGTTACTATAAAGATAAGCTGCAATCCCAACTTTCCTGAAACTGATGTGTCATCGTAGTGTATCTTGTCCATCTTTCTTGGCTTTTGTTCTAATACCTAAATGGGTATCAATCATCATCAATCGTAATCACAACAGCAGCCTTCCTAATTTCATTTTCTTAAAAATACACTCCCTGCCACTTACCCAATTTCTAGTTTTACAGTGCTGTTGTTTTAGGGTCTCTCAAAACAAGGGCTGGTTTGTGGTTTCTATGACCTTTCTTAGGAGGTCTTTGAGGATACTTTTACTTATTAAAATTTCTGTAACTTCAAATGTCACTCATCCTTAGTTGAAGGAGTATAAAATGATGGATTTCTCTCCAGAGAATATGCTCATGCATTGACAATTTATCCTTAACTATCTTAATATCTAAGACCTATTTTCCCTTGGCTTGGTCTTTATGCATGGGAAGGTTATTCCTCTCAGCCCTATGGAATCTGAGTTAGGACTTGGAAGTGGAATCCTAAGGGAAAAAGTTATCAGCCCCTCAATCAGAGGGACTTTGAACCTCACTTGAAAGAACAGCCTAATAACCATCCTCTTGGCAATGGCCAGGCAATCTGGAGGCAGAACTTCATAACCCACAATAATCAGTTACTATCCTGTAAATCTATGTAGTTTTAATTGCATCTTGGCTTTTCTCCCCTTTAACTTCAAAAACTAACTGGAGTTTCTTCTTGATCCTCAAATTACAACTTCCTATGTAAGTTTTCACCTGGGCCCAAATGGCACCAGAGCACCTGGGATCACGGATAAGCCTCTCCCCCACACCTTGTGAGCACACCTTGACTGGATGGGTGAACATTACAATCCTCTAATTTTCATCCTGCTCAACCAGTTATAGTATTCTAAACATCCCAAAGTACAGGAGGGAAGCAAGGATAACAGGTAATATCTTGATTACTACCAGTCACTATTCTGGATCCCCAATAAGCAGAGAGGGTTATCCTTAATATATGCCAGAAATAAAACTAAAAAGTTGGGAAGTCATTTTGGGAGCTGTCCTATCCCTTTGCTAATCAATGCAGGTGTGGAGGACTGCAGCACTACCCAGTTCCCTGCCTCTCATCATCTCTATACCCAAGGCCTCAGGTGTCTATACAGAACATCATTTAATAAATCTCATTTGAACAGCTAAGTCTTGTGCATTTTCTCTTTTCCCTCCTTAGTGTAGTCCTTTGTAGATACCTTTGCTGCCAAATGAAGGAATTGAAATGTGTATGAGAAATTCAGGTTTCCTGATTTTAAAATTCCTTAAAAAAACAGAGTAAGGGCTCATTTGAAGTGCTGCAGTGAGTAATGCTAATTTAAATGTCTTTTGACTTTTGCTATGAAAATGCAAAATGATGGTGTAACATTCAACTCCTACAGCTAATGACTCAGTTTACAGAAAGAAATGCCTAAATTTGTCCATGGAATCATAAACTTTTCTCTAATCTAAAGCTATTGATTCACTGCTCTGAAGCAGACATGTACAGAAGGATGGTGAGGAAATAGTCAAGATTATCAAGTTGGTGAGCCCAACACATCAAATCTTATTTTTTTGAAATCTCAACATTAAGCAATCTTTTACTTATATAAATGAATGTGCAATGATCAAGTAAATTGGCTATTCTTCCTTGTTTCCTTGAAGCTATCTGTTCATGTAAATAAAAACTAGGTATGCTAACATACCTGCTTTTGAGTAGAGAAATGGTACTGATCCATCTCAGCTGAGCAGCTTAGAGGTTGGGTGGGTTAGGCAAATTAAACCAGGGATTTCAATCATCTATGCTAACACAGCCTTTTGTTGTCAGAAAAATTGTGCCATGGGAGACATTAGTTATTTTTCCCTTATTCCCAAAAGAGAAATGGGAAAAAAGGAAAAAAAAAACACAAGTTTAAGAACTTAAGAAAAAACTGATACTATAGGTTGAAATTTACCATTGCAACATTTGTGGGGAAAAAAATAGCTAAGCAAATTAACAAGGTAAGAAATATTACATGGCCCTGTTTTTCTTTTTCCAAGAGTCCCACCTCTGACACACTGGCTATGTGACCTTAGTCAAGTCACTTAACTTCAGTACACTGGGCAACTAACTTGCTAAGACTCGTAAGTTGCAAAGACACTTCTGACCTGCCACTGGTAGATGGTTTCCTAGACCAATGAAATCATAGGTCTGCTTCTTACCTGTGTCCTAAAAGAACAGGCTACTTTTAAGGACTAACAAACTGTTTCATTTGAATGAGGCTTATCTATTAATTTAAAATGGACTGGAAGGAAAGGGTTATAGTTACTGTACACTTAAAAGAGCAAACCAAGCAGCCAGCCTTTTTAATATATCCTGCAATTCATACTTTTCACTTAGACAAACTGGATGAAAACCTTGACTATGCCCTGAGTTAATCCTTCAGTCAAGTGAAAAGTTGTTTGGTTAGGTCTGACTTTCTGTGACCCCATCTGGGGTTTTCTTGGCTTTTCCTTCTCCAGCTCATTTTCCAGATGAGGACCTGAGGCAAACAGGGTTAAGTGACTTGCCCAGGGTCACACAGCTAGTAAGTGTCTGAGGCAGATTTGAACTCAGGAAGATGAGTCTTCCTGACTCCAAGAACCGTGCTTACTGTGCCACCCAGCTGCTCAAAGTGAAAAGTAGAACATATGCAAATTAGGCATGCCTTCGCTGGGGAATACCTGTACTCATACTCAGGTATTATAAAAATCACCTGGTATATGAAAGAAGATACTAGGACTGAGTTTTAATTAAAGCTACAATATACTTTAATTTTTGATGAGGAACTGGCCAAATTTTGACACACACTGGAAAAGTCATTGCTGGTCAGTCAGAAGTTCTAGCTGTGTTCTAGAGTCAAGAGATGACACACACACATTTATATGTCATAGGTATGACATATATATGTCATATATGACACACATACACACAGGTGTGTATGTGTGTATATATATATATTTGGTGGGCAGACCCCAGGGAGGGAAGGACTGATATCAGACATATATCAATGGACTTCAAAGGGACTTAGGAAACTTAAGTGCAATAAACTAATCTTGGATCTGAATATCCTCCTAATTACTACTAACATAAGAGATATCAATTCTTTAATAGCAGTGCAGTATCTGTGTAAATCCCTATTAATTTTATCTGGTAACCTAGTGGCCTGAGTTAATATACATGTCAAAGAACCTAGCTTACCTTTACTACAGAGCACCTTATTCTTATTCATTATATTCACAGAATATAATAATAGATTCATAGATTCTAAGCTCAAGAGGGATATTAGAGATAATTCACTCCAAGACCTTCATTTTGCAGATGAGACACCTGAGACCCAGAGAGATGAAGTGACTTAAGGTAATAATGCTGGTCAGTGACAGCCAGGATTTGAATACAGAACTTCCAACCATTTCAGTGATCTTCTCACTAAAGGTGGAGTTCTTGACCTAGGGTCCGCAGACCTCCAAGGAATTTATGGATAGATTTCAGGAGGTCTATGAATTTCAATGAGAAAAAAAAATTACATCTTTATTTCAATATAATTGCTTTCCTTTGTAATCCTATGTATTTTATTTTATGTATTTAAAAACATTATTCTGAGAAGGGGTCCACAGACTTCATCAAGCTGCAAAAGAGGTCTGTGACACAAAAAAGGTCAAGAAAACCCATACTACAGAACACTAAAAGATTAAAAACCAAAAAGAGGAACTTTCACTTTTTTTGGCTGTTTCTGTATACACTCATCAATGTTTAAATAATATTAATTTTCTGTAATAAAAATCAGTCAGGAAAGAATTGACAATTCTCTTCTCACCTAAGTTCATGCTTTAGAGTTCATCTTTTACTGTGCTCTGCCTTGAATTGCTTGATGGAGCATCTTCTCATGGAAGACTACTTTATATTAATAAAAATATTTGTAATGATAAAATGTTTTCTTCTTATCTCAAAAGCCTTTCTTGAATTTTTCCTTTATACAGATGATTCTCTGCTATCATATATGGTGTGAAAATCAGGAAATATGGTTAATGTCTATAACTTCTCTAAGCTCTTTCCAATTCCTTGGTACTATTTTATAATTTCCAGTATATAATTTTAGACATATACTCAAAGAAGCATTAAGTCCTGACACTGTTAGATCAAATGATTTTTAACTTTTCATGCTTAGGTAAAATTCTTGAGTATATATAAAATTTTTTATATAGATGTGTATGTATATATGTACATATAATATAATTAAATATGTACATATACACACACACATAGCAATATATATCGAAGTGTAGGAGATATAATGGAGAAAGTTCTTTTTCTGACTATATATGTATATATATTAAATATACAATTAAGGAATGTGAGAATGATTAATCTCAAAATAAAAATTCTGTGTATATCCCTGGGCCTTTCCCTGCTTGCAAGCATTTGAGGGCCCTGAAAAGCAGTTGTGCACGAGGTTGCTCTGACTCCAAATCTTCAGAAAACACTGGTTGTTGAGCTATTTCTTTAGTAAAACAAAATATCCAATTCTTTCCTGACTGATTCTCTAGCTCATATTACAGATGAGAAAACTGAGGCCAATAGGATTAAGTGACAGGGCCACAGAGCTAATAAGTGTCTGAGACTGGATTTGAACTCAGGAAAACTCATTTTCTTGACTCCAGGCTGGCACTCTATCCACTTCACCACCTAGCTGCCACTAAGTAGGTACTCAAAGCAATTTCAAAAGGGAACAAATACTAAAAAACCGGGGTGGGAGGTGAGGGTAAAGGGGTAGAAGTCAAACAAACTTTGTGTAGGTAACAAGTTGTACTTTGAAAGGAGCTCAGAATTCTGGGAGATAGAGATGAGGAAGGAGTGCATGTCAGAAGTGGGGATCAGCCTAAGCAAAGGCAGAGGACATGGTCTATAGACCAGTCTCCCTGGAATGGAGAGTACCTTTTGGGGAGTGATATGAAATAAGATTGGAAAGGCAGTCAGTCAACAAGCATTCATGTGCTAGGCACAGGACTAAGTTATGGAATACAAAGAAAGGCAAAAGATAGTCCCTCCTCTCCAGGAGCTCACAGTTTAATGGGGGAGATATCATAAAAACAACTGTGTATAAACAAGAGATACAAAGGATAAACTGGAGATAAACAACAGAGGGAAGGCACAAGCATTCAGGGGGATCTTGTAGAAGGTGGAATTTTAGTGGGGACTGAAGGAAGTCAGGGAAGCAAAGTGGTGGAGATGAGATGAGAAGGGTGAGAACTCCAGGCACGGGGAACTTCCAGAGAAAATGGAAATTACCCATTTCAGTCAAGAGGTGGAATGTCTTCTTTGAGGAACAGCAAAATAGCTACTGTCACTGAATTGCAGATTACATGGTGGTGAAGGAGGGGAGGGAGTGAGTGAGGTATAAAAAAGAAAGGTAGGAAGGGGTCAGGTTATGAAGGGCTTTGAATGACTGAGGATTTTTTAAAGGTAGGTGGAAGCCAGACAGTCCAGGGCTTAAGAAAAGAGATGGGGAGAAGGACTAGAGGTCACAGTGAAGATAAAGAAAAGGTTTCAGGAGTGTGAGGCAGAAGAACAGGAAGCTTGACACACAGGAAGTTTGGAGTTTAGGATCATGCAGTATAGTAGTTATGGGTGATGGTGAGATCAAGAGCATGACTACTCCTGTGTGTATGAGATGAAATGAAGAGACAGGTGAATAAAAAGCTCACCTGAAGTGAGGAAGACTTGAGTTCAAACAATTACCATTAATGACCCTGGGCAGGTCACTTAAGACTGTGTCTGCCTTAGTTTCCTCATCTATAAAACGGGGATAATAACAGCATCTGTCTCCCAGGGCTGTTGTGCAAAACGCTTTGCAAACACTGAAGTTCAAAATAAATGCTATTATCATAATTACTATCATTATTGTAGTTGTTAAGATAGAGGTCGCAGGAACTGAAGAGGTCAATGAACTGGAAGAATTAGCTGCTATACAAGGGACCATCAACACAAATACTGAAGACCCCAGGCATGAAGGCAGAAACTAGGGTGAGAGGGAAGTGTGTGAATCAGACACTGAATTCCCTAAGAAAGAAAGGAGGAACAATGACTGGGAGAGACCGCCATCTGACTGCTGTACCAGTACTGTTTTCGAACTACATTTCTAGCACTTGGTTCTGACTGTGGCATCAAAACACCCGTTAAGTCAGAGTAAAATAAAATGTCCATGACACAAAAAATTACAATAGCATGAGGTAGTATATCAATAGTTTGAAACAAAACAAACAAAAATATATGTGGCTTTAATTGCAAAAGAGTGAAACATTAAGTCCTACAATTTTCCTTATGGTTTTTCTACCTATTCAATCCAAGAACAATAAGTAAAAATAATTTTTTAAAATACCAACTCTATTTCTCCATGTTTGCATCTGAAGAACAAGAACCACATCTCCTTCAAAGCAGGAAGGGTACAGAATAAGTATTTATTAAATGCCTACCATGTGCCAGGCACTATGCTAAGCACTTAACAAATATGGTCTCATTTGAAATTAAGTGGTATGCTTAATAAAGTGCTTGGCCCAGTAAGGGCATAAGAACTACTTATATTGACAACTCTATGTACAAACAACATATGAAATAAAGAACAAATAAACATTTAAATTGAATGTCAGAAAAAGTGGTATCATTAAATCTTTCGATGAATGGTTAGTCTGATTTTTCAAATTCAACACCAAGAATTCTGAAAATGGGAGCAACTTAGGGCAGGGGAGTGAAGAATTAAAGGAAATGGCAGTTAAGACACAGCAGTCTCAGAAGAAATGTTTTTCAATTAAAAAGAAAGTTGGTATTTCGTGAATGAGCCTATAAAACAGTAGTATCTGAAATATCAGTGTATGTAATAGGCCTTTGTTCTAAAACTACTTATCTCCCATAAAATGAAATTCAGTATAAAGGTCATCTTAGTCTCTAACCAAAGCTGTTTTTACTTAGTGAAGTACCAAAAGATAATCATCATAAAGCAGTCTTACAGAGGTAAGTGTGATTACAGTGATGCCTTAGTATATTGGGACAATTTAAGGGATCTGATTACTATCCACTATTAATTTTTTCCTTTAAAACATCAAACATATCATGCAAGACAAATAATATCTTTTTAGATAGGCTGCAGTCACCAAGGTAAGAAAGTGTCTACAATGATTAATCATATCAACCTTTAAAAGATTGTTATATGAATTATAAGACTCAAAAGACCTCACAAAACTCAAACTCATCCATATCATCAAAAATACCTAAGGTACCCATTTAGGCATTATGTTTTTGTGGTTGCTATGCAAAACAAGTTTTAAAAATGTAATTTTTACTTTAGAAGTACTTAGAGAAACAATAGCTTATATATAAAAACAATTTGTCACTGTTTTTGGATTCTATCATTAAAAGGATGCCAATTTAAAACTTTCCTAGTTTTCCCTCTTCAGCTGCTTTTAAAAAATAGTATTTTCATATTTTTTAAAGGGTCACGATTTACAAATCAAAATGTGTTGCCTTTTTAGACATGGCCTAATTCCATAAGATATTTTAAACTAAAACTTGAGGTTTCATAATTAAAAAGCAAAAACTAAAGTGAGCTACAAATGACTTCAAAAAAAAAAAAAAGATATTACCTCAGACAACTGCAGGAGGCCACTGACAAGCAATGTTGGTTCTGCTGTAGCTATGTCCCAAACAGGGACACAGATGAAGAATGAAGACATGCCACTAACATTCAAGCATTAGGTGACCGGTGATGCCAAAGATGAAGCAGCAATTAACGCAGATGGAAGCAAACAAACACATGGTGTGACAAACAGAGTTGAGGTTGACCTGCCAAGAGGAGTTAGTAAGCTGAGTATACTGCATCTATGTCATTAAAAACAAAATGGCATAATAGAAAATCTCCATGGTGTCATTTTAAAACCACCACTAGATTCCATTTCCTTTTTTTCCCCACAAAACTTTCAGCACTAGATGTAGTTTCTAACACCGTCTGTGCATCAAGCAATGTTAACAGTTAAAGAAAAGCTAGCTAGTAGCTTAAAAGGTAGCTAACAAGAGACCAAGTTCATTCTTTCATAATAGTTGTAATTTAAGTTATACTAAAATACTATCAAAGAATACGATATTAAAGCTGAAGAGTAAAAGGCTTTCCTGAGACTGGATTCTAGCCATCTAATCTGCATAAATGGGATTTTAAACACAATAAAGCAACATCAAAATTATGGTTAGAAGGGTTACTTACATATGAGTCACTGAAAAACACTCATGCTATATTATTCAAAAGTGCCTCTACTTTCCTAGGGTCAATTTTCCTTTTCTTTTTAATTGACTTGATATGGCTTTGAATATTGGGATTTCCTTTAGATACTGTTACAAAATTTCATATAAATACAAATAACATTTTAAAGATTAACATTTGAGCTATTTTGCTGATGACATTTTTATTACGCATGTCAGAGAAATAAAATAAGGAACTAACAAACACTACCTCTTTATTATAGTAGTTTTTACCTTCCTAAAATGCCTTATTTGTAAGGAATGGCAAAATGGGTGAACACTCTCTTCCGTGACTAAATTGTTTTTTTTTCCCCAAAAGGTCTAGAATTGTTTTCTAATGATAACTCCTTAATTTGCATGACATTTTACAGTTTAAAAGTATTTAACAGAATTCTGTTAAAGAAACTGAGGCTCACTGAGCTGAACATTGCCTCGAGTCACATGATTAATTACTAAATGGAATCATAACTAAAAGGATTGCCCCCGACTCCTGAGTCCAGTGCTTTTCTCACTACAGTGTTGTATCCCTACTGTCTCTGCTTGTTCCCTATATTCTCATGCTTAAAATGTGCTTGGCCACTTTCAAGGTGCAATTAATGAAGTTATCGCTTCTTATACTTCTGAGGAAGTAAGAAGCAATCTAAGTTCAATAAGTTTTGAAATGAGGTAAGAGAAAGAAAATGGAAATAGAGAAAACCAGCTTAGGAACAGTTAATTTTATTAGACAAGCATATGGATCCATGTTAAAAAACACACACACACAGACAAACACATTGCTGGATGCATAGATGCACACTGTTTTACTTACCAGATTTGTAATCTAATTTTCTTTCCCCTTAACTCTACTGTTTTGATTTTAAAATCAACACCTATGAATAAAACAGAGTAAAGAGGAAAAATAAGAAGCCAAAACAATGAAAATAAAAAATAATAAAAATATCATATTTCTCCATTTTACATGTATATTCCTATTCAGAGTGGAAATAAAAAAGTCCAATAGTCACATCATCATAAGCCATTAAAGAGAGGCAGAGGAATGCTGCTGGCCTATAAACCTAATTTGTTTTCCAACTTTTGTACAAAATACAGTTGTATAGTTCACCATGATTGATACCTTATGAATTGTTCAGCATTTATCGTTCTAAACTACATTACTTTCTAGTAACAAAGACACTGCTTCATTAAAAAATACATATTATACATATGTATATATACATACATATATACATATACACACATACCTTAATTAATAAAGTTATGATCTTATGAAGTATATTATGGAATAATATTATTAACTTATGAAAATATTTACCTCAAGGAACACACTAGAGGCACTTGCCTCCACCTAATGTTAACTGGTTCTTTGAAATTACAGTATCAGGTAAAGTGAAGTTCCTTATAAATAATCATACAGATAGGCAGGGACCAGTCTTTATTGGTATAGAGAGTACCTGGTGGAGCTATGTGGTACAATGGATAGAGTACTGGACCTGAAGTCAGGAAGACCTGAATTCAAATGCAGCCTAAGATACTTAATAGCTGTGTGATCTTTACCCCTTTCTGCCTCAGTTTCCTCAACTATAAAATGGGTATCAATAATAGTGCCTACCTCCCAAGGTTGTGGTGAGGATCAAATGAGATATTTGTAAAGCACTTAGAACAGTGCCTGGCACATAGTAGGTGCTTAATAAATGCTTATTCCCTCCCCTCTCTCTTAGAGAGGAACTCTCTCTAACAAAGTAGGTGTGCATCTTGTCTGCAACTATAGTCTTAGTAGCCTAGAGTGCTGGGATATTAAGTGACTTGTCCAGAGTCACATGGTCAATATATGTTAGAGTCTTGCACTCAGGTCTTCCTGGCTCCAAGGCCAGCTTTCTATCCACTACACTACACTGCTTTCATACATAGGTAACTATAAAAAACGTGTGATACTAAGGTAATAGTATGTGGAAATGATGGTGGTAAAGGCAAAATTATGTAGGGTAATACTGTAGAGGTAAGACATTTTCAGTGATTTTAACAGTCTTGGATTAAATATAAAAGAAATTTAAATTTAAAAAAATTTGTGCTCATTAAAAATCACAGAGAAATAGTACCTTAGCCTCTTCACCATTTCACTTAGTGCGGCTAGGACTTTGGGAACAATTTAGAAAAGAATTCTTGCTTTATAAATAAGGCATTACTTCTAGTACACAAGTTACTGTGTATGTAGTAAGCTATACACTTCAAATAACTTAGCTGTTTTTTGGCTACCAGAAAATAGTACCATCAAGTGAATTACAGATGTCCCCCAAGGTTACAAGGAAAGTTAACCAGAACTTAGAAAGCATTTCCCCATAAAAAGCTATGTTATAAATAGAGGTTAGCTTTCCAGGCCAGTGCATAATATGATGCTTGAAATGTAATCTTGTACAAGTAGAACCTAACCACTATTTACAACAATGACTTCTTTAGCTCCAACAGATGTCAGAGACATATGTCTCTCTTACACTGTAGCTCTAGAAGTGTGAGAGTATTTCTACAGTGGCAAGGGTGAGAAGTTGGAATGGTATGACCAGGAAGAAGAAAGAGGGGTATGTATAAAGACATTAGGGGTCTTGAGAAACCTAGAATGGGGAAAAGATGAGGTGAGAACTCTGATACCAGTGGGAAGGAGAGAAGGAGCTAAGGACAGGATAACATTTACAGAACTGGGGTTTCCCCTTATCCCAGATTCAGGAAAGTGCTAAAATTGAAGTATGGGATTTAAGGAGTTTTTGTTCATATGTAAAGTACATATAAAAGTCAGGTATATGTAAGTTAGGGGCTCCTTCTATAGGAGAAATGCTCATCTCCAGTATTCTGGAAGTCTATGATCAGCAGCAGTGACTATGCACTACCTTATTTGAGCCTCACAACAGTGCTGTAGGGTCAGTAGCGGGATTGTAAGCTCTGTTTTACAAATGAAGAAACTGAGGCTCAGAAAAATTAAATGGCTTTCCTATCACCACACTGCTAGAAAGCAGCAAAAATCTAACCACAGTGCTATGTTCTAGCCATTGTTGCTATTGGGAAAGGAGTTCTAAATTCCAAATAACTTGCCTTTGAAATGTTAAACCTCATCAGAAGCAATGTAACCAAGTACAGAAAATATTGGGACTTGGGAGTCAGCAAGAGCTATGTTCAACTAACACTTACTAGCTCTGTAACTTTGGTACAATCATGTGATCTCTGATCCTAGACCAGTAGTATGAGATCCTTGACATATTGACACTACTCTTAAGTAGAGAATAGGCCATTTTGGAGAGTCATCTGCCTGTTATAACATCCTGGGTTTCCTCATTTCCTTTTGCTAAATTTTTTTTTTCTAACATGGACATCTTCGGGGCGGGGGGGATTAGTAGGAATAAATGTAGTCATTTTACTTTAGTTTGCCTTTTTTTTTTTTTTAACCTAATCAACTTCCCAAATATAAGATGAAGAAGTGGCTGGGCAGTTTATCTGAAAAACAGGTCTGGGTGTTTACTGGACTGCATATGCCATATGTATCCTCCTTAATGTGATAGTGGCAGCCAAGAAAGTGGATGCAACCTTGGAATGAATTCAGAAAGAAAGAGTGTGCATGAGCAGAGAGTCAGAGCCCTGGTTCCATCACATCAAAAGTACTGTGTTCAGTTCTGGATGGTACCTTTTAGGAAGGACATTTATAAGCTGGAGAGAATACAGAGAAAGGATACTAGAATGATGAAAGGCCTCAACATGTGGCTCTTCAAGGGAAATGAGGACATTTAACTTTAAGAAGAAAATACTTAGGAGGAACACATGACAACTGTCTTCAGAAGCTGCACCTTAAGAAAAAAGGTAAAGACTTAGTCTACTTGTTCCCAGAATGCATAGCGATGGAAAATGGGTAGGTGTCAAAGGGGCTGATTTAGGCTTGTTATTAAACAAAGCTTTCCAAAAATTAGAACTGTCCAAAGTTGATATGCTCACCATTGTACCTTACTAAGATTTTTCAGATAAAGCCTAGATGATTATTTGCAGAATGGAGTCTTATTAAGGTACAGGGATGGACTCTGAAGTCCCATCCAATTCTGAGTTTCTGATTCTGTTTATGTATATGTAGAATGTTCAAGACGAGGTTGTAAATAGATAGATGGCTACAGAAAAGGAAAGAAAGTTCACCTGATGTGCCAAGACAAGTTCAAAGGACTGTCTAATCAAAAAAAGGTTGGGAAACATTGCTTTAGAAGCCGAAAGAAAGGACATTTCCTCCCTAAGGGTACAATTCACTGTCTAATGGAGTAACAGCCCTGGGATGAATTTGGCTCAATGCATATTAAGTTCACTAATTTCATCATCCTAGTTTGTTAAATGAGAAGGAAAAAAGGATTTAAGTTCCAATTAAATGGTTTTACATGAAAAAAATCTCTTAAAAGAAAACATAGTTAAGCTTAAATTTTGAGATATTTAAAAATTGACCTCTATAGTTTATAGACTCAAATATATAATATTTATGAAATAAGCATGCAATTTAAAAAGTAAAACTGTATTATAAAAAGGATTGTCCTAAAAGAATGTTTTCCAAAATTCTTTCAAACTCCATTTTTCTTTTTTGTTGAAAATGGTCTTCCTCTCACTCAGGCGGGAAGTTCAGTGGCCACTTACAGACCTGATCCCAACATTGACAGCAGGCCTAGAAGTTTTAACTGGCTCATTTTCCTAACCTGAGTGGTTTTGCCCATCCTTAGGTAGCCTGTTGGCCTTCTGATCCTAGGACTCACTGCACTGATGCTGTTCTCAGTTTGGATACTCAATAAGTTTTAGCTCTACTGTAGCTCAGAATTCCCAAACTTGAGCAATCAACCAACATCTCTGGCAGCAAGGATTACACACGTGTCACCAAACCTGCCTAAACTCCATTTTTCTAACCATCGTAAGTTTTAAAAACATGCTACCTGTTATCTACTGACTGTCAAGATATTTTCCTTCCTTCTTTAATGCTTGGTTCAGGCTCTTTCCACCCCAACTTCTACCCTCAATACTAGGGAACTCCAATATGATACTCTTCCAAATAACCTAGATTTGCAGCTCCTCAATCTACTGAATTCCCATAACTTACTCCTAAAACTCTACCTCAGCTATAAAAAGAGATGGTCTTGCCAACACTCACAATTGTTCCGTTTTCATGTTTATGAGTTACAAAATTCCTTTATGTGATCATAATCATTCAGTCCCTACAACCTTCATTCCTAGTCTTCTTACTCACGATTACCCCCCTACTCAATGCCTCTCTTCTTCAATTCTTTCCCAGGCTATCATCCCTGTACTACCTATACACTTCTCCCTTTCTCTATCTTAACCTGCTGATGAATCAATTAAATTCTACACTATCCTCTACACTCATGTCCCTTGCTTCCTTATCTTATCATCCATCATGTCTTGCCTAACCCAACCCACGACCTTGGATCATTCACGCCATCTGCTGCCTTTGCTCTCCTTCACACTACTGAATGAAGCTACTGAAAAGACTATGAAACTGTGCTGACTGAATCCACCACAACTTTGGGTTACATAATTCCAACAAGGCCCTCAATGCAGCAAAGCAGTACTTTTACACTTTCCCTAATCAAGTCATTTTCTCACTCACCAGATTGTTATTCCAACCTTTTCATCCCTTCTCCAGCTTTCTAAGACACACCACCACGCTCACTATACTCTCAGGTGAGAACCCTGCCTCATACTTGGATGAAAAAATTAAGGTCATTCTCCAAGAGCTTCTTCTTTCCTCCCCAACTCAAAGCACACAAATCTCTCTCCTCACTATCTACTCTAACCCTGTCTCATACGTGAAAAGATGGCCTTTTTCCTTCCCAAGGCTAACCCCTCT